AGGGGGACTATGGTGAATTCTGGGGTGGCTGTAGCCCCCCGCCCCGTAGTCCTGGTCCCAGTGCCACCACCACCTGCCCCAAGTGCAGCCCTGGCCCAACCCTTCCTGGGAAGAGCCCGGAACCAGCACCGAGCATGTAGGAGGCAGCTCACCTTCACCCTGTGCGCAAATTCAGGGAGCATGTACCTCTATGCCTCCCCTGGGGAAGCGTGCAGTGGTGGGAGCCACCCTTAACCTCCCTGCACCCCCTGGACAAGCCACTCGTGGCTCTGTCATGTGCCCTGCCCCAGCTGGGCAGCGTCTGCCACTGCTCCAACCCCAGCCCCACTCCTTCCCTCCCTCCCTCACCACAGAGCCCTCCATCAGCCCCTCCCATTCCCCATGCCCCTTCACCCCAACTTACTTACCAGGCAGACACTACTTTCCAAACAAGGAGTAGTGCATGCTGAGGCTGCGGGCATGCATGCGGCATTTATCAGGGATATTATCGGCCGCATCAACCAAAAAAAGCCAATTGCCAATGATATCAATTTTCTTTTTATCGCTGCTGATATGATATGGAACAATGTATCAGTACCCCTCTATTTTATTTTGTAGCTCCTCCATCCTGTGCTTACCTTGACAGTTTTCTGGAGCTGGGACAGTGCTTCCTCATACCTCTCTAACAATGACTTTAAGTACTCACTCTTTACCAGCTGCTTCCCCAGCTCTGGGAAGCCAGCATCCCTCAGCATCTGCAAGAACTTCTGCTCCTGCAGAGCAAATCAATACAGAAAGTTAAGGGGAGGAAGATTCTCGAGATAAATCCCTTATCTCATTTTTTCAACCAAGGGTGTTTTGAACTGTGAAGTGGTGAAGTAAGCAGGCTGAGGAGGCTTGGGTCGGAAATGAGTGACTGAAACTTAAACCAAGCATAAGCTCAATCTTGAGGGAGTTTAATGCTTAATTAGACTGAGTTTGCACTATCTTGAAACTCCTTAAGAATCTGCAGGCAAAGCCTGGAATACAGCGTTTGTCAGCGGGCAAGGCAATGAGAGGGTGCATTTCCAGTATTGGTGTAGAAACCTGGGCATACCACTTATATCAGCATGTGAATAGAAACACTGGTGCTAAATCACTGCCTGAATTACTGATTGAATATCCAAGTCATAATGCTCCACGTATTCAAGATTGGGCATCTTACAATTATGAATAATTTGTATGAAAGACATGTGGCAATGCTACACAGATATTAATGACAGCAAAGCATCCCTAAACAGAACTAGGCTGGAAGCCAGTTACGAATTGGGGGAGGGGAAAGAGTGGCAGAGATTACACTCCTCCACTTCCTCATCTTCTTTCTCTGTGCTTCACTTGAGAAAGAAGTGGCAATAACCATAGCAGTAACCTACCTGCACTTTGAGGAGCATAGTGAATGCCAACCCTGCCCTTCCAGCTCGAGCTGTTCTTCCAACTCTGAAATCAGACAAACATATATGTCAACCTGTCACAGCAATACAGGCATAACTGTCCGCATCACAGCTGCAGAATATTCCTTTTATTATATACCTGCACTGAGTTCTCTCAATAGCATGAGTCAGCACTGAAGAAAATGCCAAGAACTCACCTGAGATGCTCACTGGCCCTCAACTGTCTGATTTTGGAATTACCTAAACTTCACAGAAATCTGAATTGTTTCTGTCATGCCCCGATTCAATTTGGTGGAGATTCAGCCCAATCAGTGGCCAAATCTCTGAATCTAAATTGAAATCAGGAGACCCTTTAATCTCTCTGAATTGAATCGGTACCCTCCAAATTGATTTGGAGAGACTCGGAAAGATTCGGAGATTCAGACAGAGACAGTGTTTTCTACATACCTCTAGGTAGCAGGGGGCTCATGAATACTGTGATGCTGGGATGCATGGGGTGTCCCACAGAAGTGTGGGGGGCTCCCCAGCATGCTTGGCAGCAGACCCGGAAGTGGACCAGAAGCACTTCTGCTCCACTTCTGGGTTTGCCGCTGAGCATGTGGGCCCTTCCCCCCCCCACTCCTGTGGGATGCTCCATGAGCCCCAGCTTCACAGCAATCATAAGCTGTGCCTGCTACCTCAAGGTATGTAGAAAAAAACTTTTAAAGCGGTGTCTATGGCTGAATTGCCGATTCTCTGAATCAGCATCGAATCTTCAGATTCAGCCAAATCAAATCAGGGACAGTGATCCAAATCAACAAATCAAATCACTGTCCCCGAGCCAAATTGAAACCTGAATCAAATAGGGCCCGCTTCGCACACCCCTAATGCCAACCAAGGCAGCTCTCTACATAAATGCACATTTGACATTTCAGGGCTTTCAGAGCATCAGTAGCTCACAGTGATTTCAATGTTGCTTATCACAGCCCCTGAAAAAAAAGATCAGGCCCACAACACTTGCAATAGTCCAGGGCAAGACCTATATTCCCTGTAAGCTAGGTCTGGTTTAATAAAGGAATGGCCCAACTTCAGTGTGGCATTGTGTCATTACAATGACTTATTAGGTTTGATGTCGATTGAAGAGCTACTTTGACACTGAATTAGCTAGTCACAAAAGGTCCCTGTAAACCCCACATTATAGACATTTCAGACAGATGTTAACAAGTCATATCTGAAAAGACAGATGTGAGCTCAGATGAGATCTTGCCTTGTATTCTTGACCCACTTACCGGTGAATGTATGTTCTGATGAACTGGGGGGCGTCATAATTTATTACATACTTCACTCCTTTAATGTCAATCCCTCGAGCAGTAGCATCTGTGCTGATTAACCTGTTTTTTAAAAAATATTTACATATTTAAATAATACATTACATATACATACACACATGGTAACTAGAATATCGGTACCATGCATTTCCAGTTCGGCCATATTGCATAGAACTGCCCAATGACTGCAAATTCTGAACACAGGTGGACATGGACACATCATAACACTGTACTAACATCCCTGTACAACGCAAGGGTGGAATTTTTGGTCAGGTAGTTCTGAAGTTGGAGTCAAACTCCTCTAAACCACTCTGAAAAGGCACCAAGATGTTTATGCTTGATGCGTTCAGCCCAATAGCAAAGGCAGCATTTGAACATGTGGGCTGTAGGAAAAAAAGGTTTAATCTGAAAGCATTTGTTTCTTTCAACAGTTTTCAAAAGCACTTAACAATAAGTACTCAATGCCCCTTTGATTATTACAGAAGAAAACATGTGAGGTAAGTGGTTTACCTACAGTCACACAGCTGCAAAGAGACACTAGACATCAGGAGCAGGACAGGTCTAGTAAAGTAATGCTGCTTCCATCCATTATGTCACCGTAATAAAATGGCATGTATTTTCTATTTGTTTGCCAACAAAGTAACTCATTTGATTGTGAAAAATCTCAGCCTTGCTGTGCACAATTACAGCATGTTTTGTGCAGCTACTGAATAAGAGTTTATTGCTACTGCTCATTATAAACAGGACATGTGCATGTGGGTAAGCAGGTAGATTCTAAAAGCCCATTTGCAGATGCAAGAATCACAACCACATGCTCAGCTATGATCAGTGCATATGGGCACAGGGCAGAACACATGAGTCTGGCTCCCCATCAGTTTACAAGTTGGTTCTTGTGACCTTCATTTTTCAGAGAGGTACTTTTTATTATGTATGTGGATTCATTACAATCTCTGTGTTGGCAGTACCTTGGCTTAGTGTTACAGGAAATGCTAAGAACACTTATCAGAGATGCTTACAGTTGTATTTTGCCCTGTTCAAACACCTTCAAGGTCTTCTGCCTCTCACTTGGAGTCAGCCTGGAAGAGAACTCAGCCACATTCACTCCACCAAAGGCTCGGACCAGCAGGAACAGCCTGTTTGGGGGCAAGAAAAGGAAGGAGAAAAAGATTTCAGAGTAATTTATTTACTCAACTGGGCCATATATGAATGGTGGGATCTACAGTGGGAGAGAAGCAGGGGGTGGAAAATACTGGACATGCCCTATTTACCCTCCCCACAGCATCCCCACTCTGCCACTATGAAAAAGGATACTGGGATAGATGGATCTATGGTCTGACCCAGTACACAGCAGTTCTGATGTATACAGTTCCACAATACAAATGGTCCATCAATGCTCTCACCTATGTGAAGTCTCCTTTGAGTTGGTAAAACACAGCACACGAGTGAACTTCATTGTCAGCATGAAATGTAGCAGGAACAAGGGCTTCGAATTCAAGTTACAGGGCACATAATATTGCTGCAAAGGACAAGGACACACATTCACTTTCAAAACATCAGTCCTCACATTGACTGTTGTCTCTGAAACCTATTTGCCTACACCTCTTCGTATAATATTCCTCCCAAACCCCTCCACTAGCAGAGAGAGTAACAGACCCACACTGGCACCCCTTTTGGGGCAAGCCACACAGGGAAAATAACGTGACTTGGTAGATACAACACAGGACTGAGGCCTGAGACTTCTGTTCCTGTCTTCTGATACTGATGTGCTTTGCAGCCTGAAGCAAGGAACAAGCAGCATGCCTCACTTCCCCAGTCTCTAAAAATACAATGTGTACCCATCTCTGTAATATGCCTTGAGATCTACAGCTGAGAAACACTACATATCACTGTACCTTCTGGTTGCCCACTGTGTAGCACTGCACTCCACCCTCCTGGAAGGGAACTAGCTATTTGTACTGGTGCAGGCTGGGAAGCAACTGGCTAAGCAGCAGCTCTATGGAAAAGGACCTGAGGGTTACAGTGGACAATAAGCCAATAAGATCCCATAGTGTGACCTCATTGCCAGGAAGGCTAATGGCATACTGGGCTGCATTAGTAGAAGTGTTGCCAGCAGTTCAAGGAGAGTCATTATATTCCCCTCCATTTGGCCCTGGTAAACCCACATCTGAAGTACTGAATCCAGTTTTGGGCTCCCCACTTCCAAAAGGATGTGGACCAGTTGGAAAGAGTCCAGCGGAAGGCAACAAAAATGGTAAGAGGGCTGGGGCACATGATGTATGAGGAGAAGCCGAGGGAACTGGGCTTATTTAGTCTGGAGAAGAGAAGACTGAGGGGGGATTTAATAGCAGCCTTCAACTACCTGAAGGGTAGATACAAAGAGGATGGAGCTAGATTGTACTTAGATGACAGAACAAGGAGCAATGGTTTCAAGTTGCAGCAAGGGAAGTTTAGGTTCAATATTAGGAAAACTCTCTCACTAGGAGCGTAGTAAAGCACTACACAGAGAGGTTTTTAAGACCTATGTAGCAAAGTCTTAGCTGGGATTGATCTAGTTGGGGATGGTCCTGCTTTGAGCAGGGGGTTGGACTAAATGACCTCCTGAAGTCCCTTCTAACCCTAATTTTTTATGATTCTATGTTTCTACCTAAAAAAGCATCCTGGGCTGATTAACAGGTAGCAATCCATCAGCAGGTATGTAAATGCAGAAGTAAGTCAGTAGGACATCTCTACATACTTGAGTAGTGCAAGACTGTATGCAGAAGAAAAGGGATAAAATTACAGGGAAAAATGTGACTTACTTCAGAGCAGATCAAACTGCTTTGAGTCTGACCTGCTCTTCAGGAAGAATCCTTGCAAGTACATCCTCTTCTAAAAAGGTGTCTGACAAGGTACTGTCTACTGCTGCTGAGGGATGTATCATCTTACCGAAAGCCCTTCGGGGAGGGTATATTTCTTTTCAGCATTCTGTTCTGCCACTGGTCCATCTGAGCTTGCTTGTTTCTCGGAGTAGACGGAGGTGAAGAGTCGAGGCTGGTACAAGCCCAGCTGCTGTAATTTCTCTGGGTTCCTAGTCAGTGTGGCTGAAAATAGTAGTTTCTGTAGTGGTATCTGGGGACAGCACAAACTGGAATAGACCATGGATGGCCATTTAGATTGGGGGCATAAAGGAAGAATCGGTGCTCCTTAAGCACTGTCAGATGCTTTTTGAGGGGAGCCAATAACTGGTCCTGATCCCATACTTCTCCTGCAAGTGTATTTTCAAAATTCCCATTGAGCTTGCTTAGCCAGCCCACCCTAATTAGCCCTGTAAAGGGAATAGCAGCTAAGAAATGTACACACAGCCTCCAATACATGTACCAGCTTCCCAAATGACCAGGCAATCTTAAACAGTCTTAAATTCTCCAACCTCTCCCCTCCTGTGTAGGGCTAAAAATATAAACCGGGGTGGGCAATTATTTTGGCTGGAGGGCTGCTTAACAAGTTTTGGTGAGATGTGGAGGGCCACAAAGGCAGCCCTGTTCCTTGACCTTGACCAGTGCCCCACCGTTGCCACCATCTTGGGACTGGAAGTCCCGCCCCCAACCCCTACCTTTGCCACAGAAGTCCCTCCCCTTGCCCCCAGAAGTACTCCTTTTGGGAAGGGGGTTTGTCATCTTGGAACAGGAAAAAAAACAAATTATATTCTAAAAATCAAATATTAGCAATAACATATTTTAATTTTATTTAAAAAAACATTTTTATCTTGGTTTGTGTGGTGCATACAGAGGCGGCTGCATAAAAGCTCAAAGTGAAGTTTT